CAAAAAGATGGCAAAGTTGCCACCAGGCAGGGCTCCCTGGGGAGAGCATCCCATAGATGGAGAGCTACCACAGAAAAGGCCCTTTCTCTCATCGCCACTTTGCAGACCTCCCTTGGAGATGGCACCTGGAGAAAAAACTTAGATGGTGATCTCAGAGTCCAAAGACGCTCATATGGGAAAATGTGGTCTTTTAGACATAATCTGGTTCAATCAAATTTTTTAAGAGCCTACTCTTGCATTTCAATGTCTTTTCCAGTTTGGCTATCTCAGTTTTCAATTTTAAAAACATACACAACAAAACTATTTCTCGCCTTTAAGACTGCAAAGATAGGATTGAGACTATAAAGAGCAATTCCTAAAGGGCATTTGCAGACTCATAGGCTTATCCAGAATACAGTGGTACCTCAGGTTAAGAACTTAATTCATTCTGGAGGTCCGTTCTTAACCTAGAACTATTCTTAACCTGAGGTACCACTTTAGCTAAGGGGGCCTCCCACCGCCACCGTGCCGCCACTATGCAATTTCTGTTCTCATCCTGAAGCAAAGTTCTTAACCCGAGGTACTATTTCTGGGTTAGCGGAGTCTGTAACCTGAAGCGTCTGTAACCCGAGGTACCACTGTATACATATGTATTCATGCACAAATGCTATGATTGATGTTGCACAGGTAAAGCCAGTCACGCCTTTCTGCTTCTCATTAGTGTGTGAGTTGGATTGGGTGCAAAGTTTGTTTTCTGGGAAATGCTCCATTGATCAGCAGCTTATGCAATGTGTACCATGACTCTCAAAATACTGTACTGACCTCTGGCCTAGATTCCCTTAGATGCTTTTTGGAATAGGGGATGGAGCTTTGGGAAGCCCTGCACAAAACACAACACGGTTTGGGGACACCAAACGCTGTTTGTCTGGGGTTGTAGATTCCACTATGCTCCCTCAAAGCCAGAGACATGTGTTTACTTCGTGACTGCAAACATATCAAATACCCAGAAGGCTTGCTTTGAGTGATATCCAGACATTGCATGCATCACTCTGATTTCTGAGAATCCCCAAACTGTTGTGCGTGTTTTAAACCCACCAAACAAGTTCCTAGGCCCCACAGTTCCAGGGGAAAGGTTGAATGGGTGAAGATAGTGGGTACTTTCTGAAAACATAGGTGCTGAAGCTTGTTGGCAAAAAAATAATAATCATGCTCTCCAACCTAGAAGCTCATTCTTTGATTTCTTGTTGTGTGGAGGGCTGGCTGTGGCTACTTACTGGTGAACAAAGACGGGGCAAAACTAGGCTTCCTTTCACCCAGGTCAAATACTGGTATTCAGTTTGGCATACGTATATACGTGCTTGCACATTTGATTTTAAACGGCATAAAAAGTAGGGAATATATTATTTGAATACAGAGTTGTATTTTTTATTTCATGTTTTAATTGATTCCTTGCCTTTTCTTTCAGCCCCTTCCTCTGCGGAAGGCAGTCAGGGTAATATGTACTGAGCGGTCCCCCACTCACCCATAGAAAAGCAGTAAAGAGCAACTTGCTAACTTGCCAAGTTCCTCTGAGCCCCTGAAGTGACTTTTATGGTTGAGCTGGAGACCAAGTGGCCTGACACAGCTTCAGGCAGTTTCATGGGTGGGTGGGTGTTTTCCCCCTTCACATATTGCTATGCAAAGGCAGCCCCACTTCTCCCCACAGCTAAGAGGTCCACATGTCAAGCAGTTCCCACAGGAAAAGCTCTCCTTGGAGCCAAGATATAAATATAATAATAATTATGGAAACTGTGAGAATGATCAGGCATATATCAGAGCGTAAGTCCTATTGAATGCAGTGGGACTTACTTCTGAGTAAAAATGCTTATACGGTAATTGCAGTATAAGACTGCACAGTCTTTACCCAGTTAAGGAGGTCTGATCTCTCCACCATTTTTAATTGTTTTCTCAGATGTGGAGGGGAGGAAAAAGGAAGAGAAGAAGATAAAGGATATTCTATTATTCCCTTCCTTAGATTTAACAGCAAAGCAAGCAGCTAGCAGCAACAAAACATGGATGTTTTCAACTTTGCTTGGAAGTCCGCCTTCTCCCCTCTCCAGGATTTCCCTCTCCCTGCAAATGAGACCGGGACCTGATGGTTGCAAAACCCAACAGGGGACCCCATCTTCAGCTTCATTGGGGAAAGAGGAAGGAGGAGGATCACTCACTTTTAGGAACAGAGAAGGCTGGGTGTGCAAGCAAACTCCCTTCTCTTTCTCTTCATGCCACACCCACTCACACACAGGATCACAGACTTGTAGGGTTGGAAGGGTCCACGAGGGTCATATAGTCCAAACCCCAGCAATGCAGAATTTTTTCACCTAACGTGGGGCTTTAACGCATGACCCTGAGATTAAGAGTCTTATGCTCTATGAAATGGTCTGTAAAAGGATTAGACAAATTCATGGAACGTTATGCATGGCTGGTAGCCACAATGGCTATGCTCTTCCACAACAGCGGGAAGCAATATTCCTCGTGAGCATCTGGTTAGTCACTGAGCCTAGGATGCTGGATTAGATAGGACTGATCCAGCAAGGAGGGTTCTTTTACGTTTTTAAGACATTAAAAATTGCAACAGGACTTAGAGGAGATGGTTTCTAAAACCCGCTTAAAACTCTTCTTTCTACCCAGGCATTTTCAGAACATTGATATCAGCTGTGTGCAAACATGCCTCTGTTCCTTGCGTAATTTTGCTGGATTCATTTTGATTTTATGCAACACTGCTCAGTGAATTATTTTAATATGAAAGTCTCTATAAACATTCTAAATAAGTAATTAAATGTTGGATCCAAGCCATTTGATAGTTTTAACTAGTAAGCAGCTTTCATCCTTACAAAAATAATGGACTCATCCACTTCTATTACTGGAGAAGTATAGAAAACACTAATACTAAATTGAGAATGGGCATACAGTTCAACATTTAGTTGAAAACATAAATTTTATTCCTAAAATTTGCCACACTGAAGTTCCAGAAGAAAGTAACCACTGTTAACATTGTACTTGTACAGGATAGCATGTTTGTAGTACATGTTTATCTACATGAAAGTAGAGTTGCCACCTTTGGTCAGGCAAAATATGGATCATGGGGGGGGGGCTAAAAATTACTTTACCTGGTGCAGAATGAAATTACTTCAAAGCAATCCATTACAATGGGTTGTTTCCGATGCTGGTCATACTCATAGAGTAGGAGACACTGGCGGAGGAAGAGGAGTGCCCCTGGTAGTGCGATTCTGGCAGGACACGTCCCAGCCCCCGCCCCCACCTGCTCTCCGCCTCTGGTAGGAGACCCAATGAAATTTATGGATCTAAGTTAGCAATACACATTAATTTCAGAGAGTCACATACTCCCGATCTTCTGCCTGTCAGAAGAATGGTAAATGTAGAAACAGCCAAAGAAAGAGATGGAGATAGCAACATATTCTGTTTCTCTTCCTGAAGCCTCCAACAGCCCTTTCCATATAGCTGCTAATGCCAATTCTCTGACTCACACACCCCATAGTCAGACAAGTTCACCAGCTACTGTTACATCTGATCTTGTCACATATTTAAGGTGTTTTAAAAAGAATTCATATGTTATCCATAGGCATTCATGGAATCATAGAATTGTAGAGTTGGAAGGGTCCCTGAGGGTCATTTAGTCCAGCCCCCTGTAATGTAGGAATTTTAACTAAAGCATCCTTTAAAGCACTCTTTAACAGTCCCCCAAAGAATCCTAGTTTGTTTGGATACCCCCTATTCCTCTCCCAGAGATATGATCTCCAGAGTCCTCTGGAAAGGATTGGTTGCTATGCCACTGTTCTCAGGTAGTGGGTCAACCCATTCCTGCCTATTTAAACAGACAAGAACAGCTTCCCTGAGCAGGTCACCATTAGGAGTTTCAGCATTTGCCTAGAAGTCACTAAGTTCTGGCGATTCTTCCAGGCTTCTTCCCTGCACTTGTAATATAAGGGGTAGCAAGGTTGGTCTGCAATATAAGAGTATAAGAAGTGCTGGAAAAATGCTGGGTGTTTTTTTAACTCAACCAATTCTAACTGTTGTATGTGACATGTGGCATCTTAAAATATGCATTTAGTTCTGTGTGTGAGAAGGGGGGGAAGAGCATCTTTCAAAAACAACTAATTGGCAAGATTAATAGAGGACAACTGATCAGTGATCACACCACTGTGGGAGCGTCTGGGACAAAACGCTAATAATAAAAAGGTCAAAGTAAAGGGACCCCTGACCATTAGGTCCAGTTGCGGACAGCTCTGGGGTTGCGGCGCTCATCTTGCTCTATAGGCTGAGGGAGCCGGCATTTGTCCACAGACAGCTTCCAGGTCATGACTAAGCCACTTCTGGCAAAACCAGAGCAGCGCACAGAAACGCCGTTTGCCTTCCCGCTGGAGTGGTACCTATTTATCTACTTGCACTTTGAAAGCAGTGCTTTCAAACTGCTAGGTTGGCAGGAGCAGGGACCGAGCAACGGCAGCTCACCCCGTCATTGTGGGGATTTGAACTACCAACCTTCTGATCGGCAAGCCCTAGGCTCTGTGGTTTAACCCACAGCGCCACCCACATCCCAATAAAAAGGTAGTGGATCAAAATAAAGAAAGCCCCCTCCCCCAAACGGCTGGCCACATGCTAAACAGGCCCCGCCCTGAACTGCAGTTACACGCTGCCTCCCTGCCTCTGTCAGCTCAACTATTGGCTAGCCTGGAGCGTCAATCGGCCAGCTTTGGAGGGGAGGGCGGGCTCACTGTCTAAGCAGCTAGCAGGCATGTTGCGCACGAGATAAGCAAGTTTGGGGGAGGACACAAAGGCCAATAGTTACTTTTTATGACTTCAAAGATGGGCCAAATCAGGGGCCAAATGGGACAGAGGAGTCTGTGCCCCCAAAATGGTACCGTCCTGTATTTCAAGGGACAGAGTACAATGTGACTTACTCCAGGGTAACCATCTACATGATATGGGATGGATGCCTGAGGCAAGATGACTTTCGACTCATGGCGGAGGGAGCAACGCTGTTCCCCGTCCTCAAAGCGCCCCAGCTGCACGAAGGGACTGGGCTAAGGGGCACAGAGAGACCTTCACCCACCGTGGATCAGGGAGGCACCCGAGCTGCGCGGGAGCCGAGGCCGTGTCCTGACAGCAGACGAGGGGCGTCAGGCCCACCAGAGGCAGTGAACTTGCCTTGGGTAGGTGGCCAAAGGGGCTCTCGAGGACAGGAGGGGCCTGGAAGCCGATGGCGCCACTCCCGCCGAACCCGGCCCAAGCCCAGCTCCCAACCGGAGCCTCGCCTGGCAATGCCGTGTGAATCCCGCTCTGCCCCAGGTGCCCATAGCTCTGGCTCTGACAATGAGGTCTGATATTTCCAAAATTTGCGTTCCTTGGAAACAGGAAGTTCATATAGCCCTCATAGCCAATCAAGAGAGAAAGATGAGGGCCCCATAAAGGGATTCCCAAAGACAACGGAATGGTTTGGAGGAGATTCTGTTTTCCAGGCTTCCCGGGACAGCAGACGCTTCTGGTCCCTTGATTCGGCTTGCCTGCTCTCCATTGAACTGTACACAGCCGAGGGGCCTCCACTTCCTTTGCTATTTTATGGGGTAGATTGATAGGAAGGTTTCCAAGTCTAAGGCTTAGAATAAGAGGCATTAGGAAATGCCATTTTGCAGTCCTCCAAATGGCAACTTTAAGAGGTACAGGACAAGGCAGTGTGCAGGACGAAATAGGCCTATGGCCTGCTGCAAATTTCACAGGCTGGAAGTGTCAATGGGGACTTTCCCCCTTGGGAGGCTTCTTGGTACCAATTATGCTCAAGACCGCAATACCTCAAGGACCACCTATTCTCATAGGAAGCGGCCCAGATCCTGTGATCATCATCAGAGACCCTTCTTTGTGTGCCTCCTCTGCAATAGGTCCATATGTGGCCTTTTCTGTGGTGACTCCTCGCTTGTGAAATGCTCTATACACACACACACACACACACACACCCCTCTTGAGTATAATTTATTTGGATACAACCCATGGCCTCAAATTATTTCTGCTCTAAGGGTATTCCATCACTCTACAGTGGTACCTCAGGTTAAGTACTTAATTCGTTCTGGAGGTCCGTTCTTAACCTAAAACTGTTCTTAACCTGAAGCACCACTTTAGCTAATGGGGCCTCCTGCTGCCGCTGCGGCACCAGAGCATGATTTCTGTTCTCATCCTGAAGCAAAGTTCTTAACCTGAGGTAATATTTCTGGGTTAGCGGAGTCTGTAACCTGAAGCATCTGTAACCTGAAGCGTATGTAACCCAAGGTACCACTGTAATTCATTTGCCTCCCAGACTTCGGCTACTGTCCTAGCCAAGGGTCCACATAACCAGACACTTTGAGAGTCAGGATGCAGAACGTGATGAATAACAAGCTTGTCCCAGCGCAATAGTTCTTCCGTGCACAGTAGCTGGTGTCTCTGAGCAGGTGTAGGCACCGTAGGCCTTGTGCCTTGGCATCATGCCAGGGTCAGTTGCTAACTATTTACATTCCTGGCCTATTCTGGGAGCTGAGTTGCCAGCAAACTTAGTGTGCTGTGGACTTCGGCCCTGGCCCTGCAGTTGCATCATGTTGCACCAGTGTTTTTTCCCAGACAGCCATGTTTGCACGTTGCCTCTTTCTCTAGCCAAACCAACTATCCCAAGAACTTTAATCCCATTGTGCCCCTCTACCCTACAGCCAGATACTTGAATGTCAGCAGAACTGCTCCCCGCCAAGGCCAGTTGTGGAAGCTGTGCAACTGGTGGACTCAGTGTCTCAGGTCTTGGGTTCAAATTCCTACACGACAGAAGCAGCAAGGAAGGGGAACAGGAACAGGAGGGGGGAAAGCAGACCCGGGCACTGCTTCCAAACAACGGCTGAGGGGGAGCGGGATGTCTCCGCCCCGCTCCCAGTCCCACCACTCTGCGCTCCCTGAGAGTGTTGCCTGCCTAATCTGTCAAGATGACCAACAGCAAGGGGAAGAGGAAGGGGACACGTTACATGTTCTCAAGACAATTTCGCAAACATGGTGTTGTCCCTCTTGCCACCTACATGTGCATCTATAAAGGTGGTTTTGTTGACATAAAGGGCATGGGCGCAATTCAGAAAGGCATGCCCCACAAATGTTACTATGGCAAGACTGGAAGGATCTACAACATTACCCAGCATGCTGTGGGCATTATTGTGAAAAGAAGGTTAAGGGCAAGATTCTTGCCCAGAGAATTAATGTGCAAATTGAGTATATCAAGCACTCTAAGAGCAGAAACAGCTTCTTGCAGTGGGTGAAAGACTATGAAAGAAAGGGGGGGAAAGGAAAAGAAAAGGGAATTTGGTTTGAACTAAAACACCAGCCTGCTCCTCCAAGAGAAGCCCACTTTCTGAGAAAAAATGGCAAGGAGCCAGAGCTGCTGGAACTCATTTCATATGAGTTTATGACATACTTGTATATGAACAAAATGAAATCTCATGTTGACTACCTAAAAAACAAAACAAAAACAGAAGCAGCAAGAAGGCAGAAGTAGTTACCTGGTAAAAGGGAGGGGATACCTTGTTTTGGTGGCTGGTTCTGCTCTGATCAATAGCATACAGTGAGGCTGAACGTTATACCCAAGTGTGTATAATAGTCTCTGTGTTAAAAAAAGTTGCACAAAGGAAAGCCGAATTTGCATCCACATTAATTTATTGTTCTTCTAGTTATCTCTCAGAAGGGCAATGGGAAAGCGCTGAAGCCCCCCGGAAATCCCCTCTTATCCAGCTTCTGTAATTTCATCAGGATTTCCTATATCTTCACAGCAATTGTCTTTCTCGGTCATTCCATGTCAAATGATCTGACTTTTTTTACCTCATGTCATCCAATTTTCTTAATATTTTGTACTCTTGTTGAATGAGGAAAACTAAGTTTAAATCTAGAATTTTAGCATTTTATCTCATCCCATTTCTTCGTTATGAGGGCTTGAAATTTCAAAAAAGTGTCAATTTTGGAGCGCCATTGAGGCTCCCAGGCTGTGTGTAAGTGTGTGCAAATGTGCATGGGGTGGTGGTGTGGGGTGCCAAATTGGGCCCTTGACCCGGGTGAAATAAAGCCTAATTTAGCCCCTGCTATTAGCCCCATCTCAATCTGCTTCAAGTTTTTGAATATCTTCTTCACCTCTTAGGAACAGATCACTCTGGAGCCCATCCATACATGGGGCTATCCATACACCCATGTCCTCTAAATACGGTATCAGAGGTGGTATGAGCAGTTTTTGCCAAAGTTGGGAGTCATTTTGGGGGGACTGAACTTGTGGCTTTGTACCCAGTGGTGGTCAGGCCAAAGGATGCCAATCTAAGCCCAGCAATCTCCTCACTGTGGCCACCCAGATTCCCTGTATTGCAAGGTGTATTGCCAGATGATCCTCAGGGACAATTCTATTATTCTAAGTATGCAAGCATTTGCACTCCCGCTATCCTAACCCAACACACACACACACACACACACACACACACACACACAGCGAGTGAGACAGAGAGATTTAAACTAGGCCATTCAGTGTTCAGTCACCAGAGGTGAATATGCAAGAAAGTGCCTGGTTTTTTGCCTGACAGAACACCTAAGGAGCCAGATCCTTGGTTCAGGTAGCTCAGGACTGTCTTCCTCTGGATTAGCTGCCAGCAGCTCACCAGGGTTTCAGAACAGAGTTTTCCCAAGCCTTACCTGGAAAGGCTGACTGAAGTTGTGGCCTTTCACATGCGCTGAACTATGACCTTTCCCATTCAGTACCTTGTATGCTGCATGAAAAAGGCCCCCAGGTGGGTCAATCCTTGGAATATCTCGGGGAGGCTGGGAACAACTACTTGCAACCCCTTGGAGAACCGTTGCCAGGCAGTTTAGAACTGGGACGAGGAACCCAAGGATTACAACCTAATACCCACAAGAGACTGAGCCTTTCTGTTGTGGGGAGGGGACTCTGCAATCTTGCAGCTCAGCAAACACGGGCCATTTGGCCTTGACCAGCTATTAGCTGCAGCTTCAAAATGATTTTTCTTACAGGTCAATGGTAGGGAAAAGGTTTCCCACCCCGGTAGAACATTGAGCTAGATGAACAATTGCCTGACTCAGGTTCACATGCTGGTGGCGTGAGGGGGGAGGGGTAGTGATGGCAATAGTGGTGAGTTCCTCCACCTTTTCCCCCAGATAAAGCCACTGCTAAGAGCTACCATCTCCATTCCTCTGCCCATGCACATACTTCTTCAACATGACAATGGCACCGGGGGATGCCAGCATTAAACATGGGAGTGTGATTTATTTCACATGCTTGACTCTCATCCTTGCAATCCCAGCATATCTCAACAAAGAGAGAGAACCCATATCTTGAGCTTCCCAGCCTGGTGCGATCAACTCCCTTTTGACTTCTGCTAATTAACTTAATAGTAATTAAGTTTTATCCATTTTAATGCTGTGTAAGTATTTTGAACCATTTGGATACTGTATAAAAAATAGGGCGTGGGCTATCTAGCCAGGTTCAGTGCTTTTCATTCCCACTGAATTCAAAAGAAGTATTATGAATAATGTTTTCTCCCCTTAGAATTTATGGGGCATGGAATATAAACCATCTTGAGTCTCATTGGAGAAGGTATTGAATCAACCAATTATTTGTCTCTCCCTTCTTGCCAGATTTAATAAGCCTCACCTTCTGTTGCCAGAATTTGTAGTGATGCCTTTGCAGGCAGTTTAATTCACAAATAGCATTGATACTGACGTTATTTCTGGTGTTGCTGGTGGTGCAACAACAATCTCACCACCGTGGTATGTGATGGGGTTCATTTCCTTGTCACAGTCAGGCTACTAATACGTAGCACTGACCATTTGTTCCTCTAAGTGATTCTACACTCTGGGGAAACGGAGCAGCAGGGAGTCCCTGTGACAGGGCAATAAAGGGCCGGGCAATACAGAACCCCAATTACACAGCCAGAGTTAGGTCAATGAAGTAAATTTGCACAGGTTCTTTAGTTTACATTGTATATTCCAGATGCGAAACGTAGCTGCAGAAAAGTGGTTACAGAAGCTGTTAGTACGGACAGCACTGCAATCCAAAGGTTTGTCTCCATCATAGAAGTTAAGATCGCAACCCCAGCGAGGGACCTTGGCACCTGAGCAAAACTTCGCTGATGTATCAAGGTGATGGAACCCTGATCAGTGCAAATAATGTGGCACCTCACCTGCCACAGACGTCATGGCACAGAAAGGGAAACCAGTTGATAATCCCAGACACATTTCCTCACCTTTGTTAATAATCACCAGAGGATTTATCGGCAGCAGATAAGGAGTTTGTGGCTTCTGAAAGATGAGAGTTCCAGGAAGCAATCATTTCAGAAGGCTTTTAAGTAATTTATCTGCTTGCTAGCATACTGTGGTGCTTGATAGATGTGATTAGAGGTTCTACCTGTTCTTACCTGTATCTTGGGAGTTTTCTCTGTGCCCACTAACATCTTCTCAAAATTGTTGCTTTAAAGTTTAAAGACTCAGAACCAGTGAAGGTGGTGGATGTCCTGTGTGAGTGTCTGGAGGCGGTTGAAGGATGGATGGCAGCTAACAGATTGAGGTTGAATCCTGACAAGACTGTTTTGGGGGGACGGGGTGAGCAGGTGTGGAGGAATCCCTGGTCCTGAATGGGGTAATTGTGCCCCTGAAGGACCAGGTGCGTAGCCTGGGAGTCATTTTGGACTCACAGCTGTCCATGGAGGCACAGGTCAATTCTGTGTCCAGGGCAGCTGTCTAACCAGCTCCATCTGGTACGCAGGCTGAGACCCTACCTGCTTGCAGACTGTCTCACCAGAGTGATGCATGCTCTAGTTCTCTCCCACTTGGACTACTGCAATGCACATTTTCTCTGGGGTTGTTCCCACATCCCACCCCTATGCTTTGCCATTTTCTCCCGCCTTAAGCCCCTCTTCACTCTGGGGCCATGAAAAGCCTTTCCCAATGCAAACTCCTGCTTTGCTTTACATCATGGCAAATTGTGTTCCCTTTCCTCAGGCACCTGTTTCCACCAAAGGGAGCCTGCAATCCCCTTTTGCTAAGCCCTTCCTCCCCAACTGGAGGAAAACTCCCTGGGGCACTAGGTGAGCCGGCCAATCAGAGAGGCACAAAGGGCAGGGCCAGACTGGCTGAGTGACAAAAACTTAGGCACATAGCTGCCTGACACTCTGGAGCAGCCAGTCAATGAGCTGAGATCTCTTGAGTGATCAACACCTGCTTCACCTCGGCACCAGCAGCAGATCCACCCAGCCCCAAGAAGCAGGGAGAGCAAGAGGAAGCAAAGGACTTGCCAGGGGTTAGCAGTTATCCTCTTTGTACCCAGGGCAGATTGCCATTCCTTTTAGGCTAAGATGCAAGCAGCTGGTCCCAGCGCAGGCACAGTTCGTGAGTTCTAGTTACTGTCACAAGAACTACGTGGCAACAAAACCACCTCCTCTGCTGTATCTTGCTACCTACCACACTTGGGTTCTTCATGGCTCCCACCTACAGCCCCCAGGGCAGCTGGACTCCTCTGGCCACGCTGGCCCTACTATGGACTTCTTTAGCCTGGATCGAGGGAAAGCCTGCGTGTCCTTCCTGTAAGGTGCCGCCTCTGGAGCCCAGCGCTGAGAAAGCCTTTCTGGTTGAATTAGCCAAGCAGCAGATCCTGCAGAAACTAAACTTGAGCGAGAGGCCCAACATCACCCACCCTGTGCCACGTGGGGCAGTGGCCAACGCCCTACGCCGCCTGCACCTGGGCAAAGCCCGGATGGACAGACTTGGGCACTTCTCTGGCTGGCAGAACCCCGAGCCTGATGAACAGGGGTACGAGATCATTAGTTTTGCAGAGACAGGTGAGTCCTCATAGCTCTTCCTGGTGCATGGCCCAGGACTTGAATATTATGATGGAGAGAATGTAACTCGCATGTGCCAACAGCTCCCCCCCACCCGCTGCAAATATTTGCTGCATACAAAGTGCTCTTGAGAGCAGAGACTTGTAGTTATCCATTGCACTGTAATTTCTTACCCATGGGAGATCTAGCTAGATTCTGACTGTGCTGAAAAATATCAACTGCAGGGGGAGAAGGGCAATGTGTGTGGAGGAACTAGTGGTGGTGGTGAGAGTGGACAGGTTGCTAAATTTCTCATTAATCCAGTTTTCCGTGGCATATCTCAGGCTGCAGACAGATGTTTTTTCTGAGTGAGAGAGATGAGTGAAGATGGTATTAGTAGAAGTGGTGTTGCCATCAGTGTGCATTTCCATGCCATTATCACGTCTTTAAAAACCTGCAAAACTTGTTCCACCAGCAGTTATAATGTGGCAAAAGGAATGAGTCTGTGTGCCACAGACAGTGATGCTGATGCCTCTATCATGCTACCTTCTCTCTTAAAAACGACCTCCTGCCACCATCTGCCCTCTCTGCTTCATGTGCAATATAGGATGGGGTCACTGGAAGTAGCTAGTAAGCAGGATGCAGCTAGTGTAGCGCTGCCACCCTTTTTATACCTTTAACAGCTGTGTGACAGGAAAAATATAACAGTGGGGGGAAAGCTTCATCTGTTGATTTTTGCCTGTTATTTACTATTCTTCCAAATGGTGGCAGTTGGAAGAATATCCCACACCACTGTGTTGCTTTCTTGCTTGATGCCTAATTTAATTAACAACGTAAGATGAGCCCTGCTGGATGAGGCCAATGGCCCGTCTAGTCCAGCAACCGGTTCTCCCATGGGCCAACGAGGTGCCCCTGTCGGAAGCCCCCAAGCAAGCAGAACCTGTGTGCAACAGCACTGTCCCCACTTGTGGTTCCCAGCAAATGGGTATTCAGATCCATACACCTCTGGCAGTGAAGGGAGAACACAGCTGTCACACACACCCATTTCTCTGACCCCATTCTTTCTGTGTGCTCCTGAGAACTTAGGGACCAAGGGTCTTGTGCTGCTTCCTATTCATCTCAGTGAGGTACACTCAGAAGAATGTCTAGATCAGGGGACTGCAGCTCCCATAATCTCTGGACCATTGGCCATTCGGTTGGGGGTGCTGATGGGAGTTGTAGTTCAGCAATATTTGGAGGATTGCAGGTTCCCTACTCCCCCCCCATCGGGCAAGGAGTGATTGGTCATATTGTGGTATTAGTGATAAGCACTCAGAATTTTCATGGATTTATTTAGGTATTTGTACAATTTCTTGCTGCTTCTACTATGGAATGACCTTTGTGACCATTGCATGGCAGAAATCCACCTGGATCTGGTGTTGCAGGCTCAACATCTGTTTGGCTGCAAATAAAAAATATTTACCAGAACAACCCATCCATGTTTGGCTGGTAGGCCACCCCATGCTGAGTGAAATTAAGCAATCAAGCTTCTTGGCATATTGTTCTAAGGTTGTTGGGTCAAGTGGTTAAAAAAATATCCCAGGCTATCCCACCAAAAGGGGGCAGTGATGTTGCTCATAAGGAAAGTGGAGGAAATGGTGTTTTATAAGAGAGTTATAGTGGGGGTGGAAGAACAGCTGGTGAGAACCAGTGTGGGATAGTAGATAGGTTTTCATTTCAGCAGTCTCCTCCTTTAGTTTTTAATTATTTAGTTCTTTATTTATTTGGGATTGTTTGCCTGCTTCAGCAGAACCTGACTTCCCACATGTTTTGTACAGGGCTTGAATTTTTTGGCAGCCAATGAACAACAACAGTCTATTAGAAAGACCATTATTGCTTAGTTTAGAGCCATGCTCAAGTAAGAAGAGCACCCTTAGGTGAATCATGTTATTCACCATTAGGGTCAGGCATTATTTCCCCAGGTGTTAAAGACTGAGAAAGGGGAATAGAGTACACACTAGTACACACTGTACACACTAGTCCCAGCCCCTGCATCCCTACCTCTGTTGGTTACATCAGCATCACTGATGGATGGGTTCCCCATCATTAGGAGGATTCTCCATGCATTCAGCCAGATGCTTGAAGCACAACGCACAAAGGTCAGAGGCTGCAGCTGGCCAGGATGGGGATATTGGGGACGCCTTGTGGGGTTCTGCTGCTCCCTCTACACATTCGCAGGTGCACTTACCCTCAGCCTATCTACCTCATGGGCTTCCTCAGAGGCATAATTCATATGCAGAAAATAAATGTGAAGTGACGGCAAGGCAACTCTTGGACATATTTTTGACCCTAATCAAAGAACTCTGGTTCAGGCCTGGTGGTAGCTTTTCTGGGGCAGGACAGGATTAGCATTCCTAAGATTTTCATCTTGATTGTCTTCCCCTCTACAGAGCCCTCCGGGGTCCTCCAGTTCCAGCTGACACATCCGAAAGGCCAAGACATGCACCTCCTCCAGGCTGAGCTGTGGCTGTACCTCAAGGCTCACCAAAATATCACCCTGCAGGTCTACCTGGCAGGGCAGCAGCGAGTGGCCCTTGGGGAGCGGCAGCAGCTGGAGAGCAAAGGCAGCAGCTGGCACACTTTCTCCCTCATGCCAGATCTGCAGAGCTTCCTTGAGCGTGAGGAGACGGCGCTGTGCCTGGAGCTGCAGTGTGAAGGCTGCCACCCCAGCATCGACTCTTTGCTGACTGCTACCAGCAGCTCCCAGCAGCCCTTCTTGATGGTCAAGGCCAAGATACGGGAGCCTGGCCACCGGGTAGCTAAGCGCAGCCTGAGCTGCGACCAGAACTCTGACCTGTGCTGCAGAAAAGACTATTACGTAGACTTTCGGGACATTGGTTGGAATGACTGGATCTTTAAGCCAGAAGGTTATCAGATAAACTATTGCATGGGTGAGTGCCCCATGCACCTGGCTGGCTCACCTGGGGTAGCAGCCTCCTTCCACACAACTGTCTTCAACTTGGTCAAAGCCAACAACATCCAGACTGCTGGCCGGTCTTGCTGCGTCCCCACACAGCGACGGCCCCTTTCTCTGCTCTACTTTGATCCCAATAGCAACCTCATAAAGACAGACATTCCTGACATGGTTGTTGATGCTTGCGGTTGCAGCTAAGAGCAGGATTCTAGCCACAGGGAAAGCTGAGAGGGGCAGAACAGAAGATGTAAGACTTTTCCCACTACTCCTATTCATGGGTGTAGCCGGGATTTTTGTTAGGGGGGGCAAGACATTGTTAGGGGGGCAGAACGGCATGATTGGTCAGTTAGTTAAGTATTTCTATTGTTTTACTTGATCTAGGGGGGGAAGCTGCCCCCTGCCCCCATGTCCCCCTGTCCATGCTCCTATTAGACACCCATGTGACAGTCATGATGTTCCCTTCTAAGCTGGGTAGGATGGTGTGTTGGACTCTCTTCATAGAGCAACCTTGGTTTCTGCAGAGAAGAGCAAGTTGCAGGAGGCCTTAACCAATCCTGCCTTCCTCAGGACAAAAGCATTCACAGTAAAGCACATAAATATTGCTAGACAGGGCTACCAACAGGATCATTTGGACTTTGGACACTATTGTATGCAGGTTCCACTCTGGAAGTGGCAACTCAATAGCCCCTCTGATCTCTGCTTTTCCCACCACCACCACCACCAGACACACACAGCAGATTCACTTGTACCTCTTCCCCAACCCCTAGCTATGGCCCTATGGGATTAGTCCAAATGCCAGCTGGAGGAAAGCCAGCATGCCTGCTTGTCTCAATCCATTCAGTTCATTTTTAATATATGCTATTGATGCATTCAGGATTCCAGAATGCGACTGGAGAGAATTAACCACAGAAACCCCATCAGACCTGACCAGTTAGATACAATGGGATAGAATTTGGGGTTCTTGGCTTTGGGTAGTGTAAGGATTCTCGTGGTTGTGGCCCTCACTTTCATTGTGTTCCCGCCTGTGTCTCTGGCTGGACTAGAAAGTGTTTACTTGGGAAAGCCTGCAATGAGTGTGCAGAAAAATGGGGATGCTGAAGAGTCGGAGCCACATATTCAGTCAGTGACACTGATGCCAAAGGTGCCCTTGATACCATTAATACCTTTTTTATTTGTGCATGGATGTTGCACTTATGTTAATGTATCTATCTATATTATTTTATTTTTGAATTACATCAATAAAAATGATGTGTTTTTTAAAAAAGAATTCAGCATGGTTTGAGAAATGTTTTTCATCCACAAAACTGTCCAGATATGTTTTTTAAAAAAATAATAAATTTATTAATGAACTTTTATTTGATGTGCATCAAACATAAAAAAGAAGTGAAATACAGTGTTCAAAACACACGCTTTAAATATATATATGGAGAGGAAGAAAGGGGAAAGAGAGATTTCTTTCAGCCTTACAAGGCGACAACACACAGCTATTCCTTTTTTCTTTCTTTATTAAATATATACCACCCTTCATCCACAGACCACAAGATAAAAACACAGGATAAAAGCACAAATAAATAGAACCAAAAATCCAAAAACAAAACAGTACACCCCCCACTGTCATCTCTAGTCAAAGGAGTGTGGCAGGTTTTCAAAACAATACAAATGTATTCTAAACCTGCTTACTATAGACAAAAGTCTAACAAGTATACAGTACATACCACATATAGCAATCCCTATTATTGAAACTGCTTTGAACTTTGAAACAATATACATTTTCCATCTCTACTTTATGGAAGTTGCCTCACACACATTTCTTTTTTATGTAAGTTTATGCTTAAAAATGTGAAGTGTGCATGCAACAAATAAATATTTAAAAATTCACATGCCATTCTAGCATACTCATGTGCTATGCTGTGAACCAGTGAACCTCGTGCAAGAACCTAAGAAGAGGCTGCTGGATCAGGCCAGTGGTCCACCTTCTTCAGCATCCTGTTCTCACAGGGGCCAACCAGATGCCAGTGGGGAACCTGGTGACACACCTGGTTTGCTGCAGCATGAAACAGCCCTTTGGAATCATCCTGTTTTTGCTTGACCCTTCCAGTGGTAAAGAATGCAGTGACAAGAGAGAGGAGGCGGCTCAGCTCCAGTCCTGCTAAGGGCTCAATAGGATACTTTCCATCTTTGCCTCTGTTTTGTCTTCTTCCACTTGGATATGTTGATGGGAACAGAGAAAGAAGCCGAATTATTTGCACTTTGATAGAAATGTATAAGCCATCTTCCTTTCAATATGAGAAACTGAAATAGCTCGCAGAAGTTTCAGAGTTGACAGTATCCAAGACCTGAAACATAACTGCCAATTTAACACAGTCCACAATATATATTTAATAGTAAAACCTCAAAAGTTTCCTCATTGCACCCTTTTAAAGCCAGTTTGTATTGCATGAAATGCTTTTTCTGTGGATTCGTTCCACTTAAGTACACTTCAAAGGATTACAAGCACCACCAAGCAGTTGCAAGTGTGATGCATTTGAGAGCAATGGAACCCAGTACAAACAATGAGAGATCAGGGGACTTCTTCACTGGGCAGATGTGGCACCAGTATGCAGCATACCTGGGCAAGAGCTGAGGTGTCATGGGGCAGGCCACAGATGTCACTGGGCTGCCACTGATATTATGGGAATGAGGAGCTTCTGCTGCCATGCCCACAACTTTTTCTCCTCCTGCTCCTGTGAGCAGCCCGCCAGCAGCCCCTTCCTAGACACAGCAACAGTCAGTGGGGAATGGGACACTGCTTGCCAATGACACGCCACTGAGCAGGGTCCCAGGGGTGTCTGCACCTCAGCTTGCTGCCACCACTAACTTATGCCAGACCCACTTCTGATGTCTGCCTGTGAAGTCGGGGCTAGCATAATTCAGATGCTGGTACTAACGAGTTCAGGGCTGTTGATGAGGATGGACAAATATGCCAGTTTTTGTTTATCTCATTTTCTCATTTTTGGTTTCTCATTTTTGGTTTATCTCATTTCCTCATTTTTCCGATGTTAATCTCAGTTCTCCACATTTCTGCATCAGTTTGCAATTCTTTTAAAGCCGTCACAAAATTCATCAGTGTTGTAGCAACATGAAATGGGAAATGGAATTGAAAATGAAAAAGAGTTGGTCAAATTATACAATGGGCAAAAGATGTGGGGCACATTATTGAGATGGCAGCATGGGAAATGTTATGGAAAACAGATAGGAAATTTACTGATTGCTAGGCAATAAAGGGAAATGATCTATAGATGGTATTTAACACCAAAAAAATTAGCCAAAATCTATAAAGCGTCAAACAAATATTGGAAACATAAACAAACAGAAGGGTCCTTTTTTCATGTGGTGGACTTGTAGAAAGGCAATAGGCTTCTGGGAAATAATATAATGAATTTTAAAAGATGTTTAAAATAGCTATTCCCAAAAAGTCTGCAGCATTTCTTTTGATGATTTTAGGGGCAGAGGTTTCAAAAGAGATGGTTAAGTAAGTTGTTTATGTATGCTACAAACACAGCCACAATCCTGTATGTGCAGAAATGGAAAGAAGAAATCCCAAGGAAAGAAGAATGAATTTTAAAGTTAATGGACCATGCAGAGATAGTGAAGTTGACAGCAAAATTAAGAAATTAAAAAGATGAGAACTTTGTTGAAGAGTGGAGGTTCTTTTCAGACTATTTGAGAAGAAACTACTGTATAGTCAAATGATTGTAATATAAGTTACGATAAAATAGAAAATAAATGGCAGTTATGGCAGCAGATAAAGGAACACAACAGGAACAAAACGGACATAAGGATGGGAAATCAAAATGTAAGCTATTATTATACAGTGGTACCTCACTTTAATTCCCCGGAAACAGACATCTATTTATTTATTTATTTTTAATAATTTTTATTAAAGTTTTAAACAAACAAAAAGAAAAACAACACACACAAAAAACAATACAAAACTTAACAATAAAAACACAAAACATAACAATTAAAAACAAACTCTCTTTTCCATTTCCAATTTTAAATTACTTATTTTCTGGACTTCCTCATACCTCCCTCTTTTGTATTCCAATCCACATTATTTGTCCAGCAGTTTCTTTTCCACTTTTTTAATCCCAATCTTTAATTTAATAAAACGTTAAAATATATAACTTCAGCTTTTTAAACCTAATCCTTGATCTTAATGTCATATAGCTTTAAATTTTTCCCTTTTATTATCAAATTTCCATTTCTTTAAACATCTTTAATCTTGATCTTTAATCTTAATCTATCCTTAACTTTAACCTGTACAGCTGGAAACCACTTGTTTTCAGTCCAACATCACTCTAACATTCCTTAATTTTGCAGTGTTTCTGAAGATAGTCTTTGAATTTCTTCCAGTCTTCCTCCGTCGACTCTTCTCCCTGGTCACGGATTCTACCAGTCATTTCCGCCAATTCCATATAGTCCATAAGTTTCATCTGCCATTCCTCCAGCGTGGGAAGTTCTTGTGTCTTCCAATACTTTGCGATGAGTATTCTTGCTGCTGTTGTTGCATACATAAAGAAAGTTCTATCCTTTTTAACACCATTTGGCCTACTATGCCCAGGAGAAAGGCCTCTGGTTTCTTAGGGAAGGTATACTTAAATACCTTTTTAATTCATTATATATCATTTCCCAGAAAGCCTTAATCTTTGGGCACGTCCACCAAAGGTGAAAAAATGTACCTTCAGTTTCCTTACATTTCCAACATTTGTTATCGGGCAAGTGATAGATTTTCGCAAGCTTGACTGGGGTTATGTACCACCTGTATATCATTTTCATAATATTCTCTCTTAAGGCATTACATGCCGTAAATTTCATACCTGTGGTCCATAACTGTTCCCAGTCAGCAAACATAATGTTATGCCCAACGTCCTGTGCCCATTTAATCATAGCCGATTTTACCGTTTCATCTTGAGTATTCCATTTCAGCAGCAAGTTATACATTCTTGACAAGTTCTTAGTATTGGGTTCTAACAATTCTGTTTCTAATTTGGATCTTTCCACCTGGAAGCCAATTTTCCTGTCCAATTTAAATACCTCCATTATTTGATAATAATGAAGCCAGTCTCGCACTTTGTTTTTAGTTTTTCAAAACTCTGCAATTTCAGTCTATCTCCGTCTTGTTCCAAAATTTCCCAATATTTCGGCCATTTGACCTC